TTAAATAAATTATATATTTTTAATATGTATATAATATATTAAAAATATAGACCAGCTTTACATACTCAAAGCTTAGAAGGATTGCCTGGATTATTTTATGAGGCGTTCTTTATAATGCCAAGAGTAAGGTCAAGGAAATTATAGGTTGTTATGAATAAAAGCATGAAAATCCTTAACGCACTACGAAGTTAATTGGCAATATATAGAAGAGGATATGTGATGTAGAATCTGTCCCAGGAATTGAAAATGAATTTGTGCAATTCATCATGCTCTATCTTAATGTATGAAGGAGGTCTGACTAGAGCACACCTAACCTCTTCTCTTGGTTTGTTTCCACTTTTCAGCTTTTATTAGCAAATATTCTGTTTCCTGGCATCTCCAACATCCTTGGGTTTTAGACTTCACTTTCCTGGCTTCATGCTTCATTTTTCCTAGCTTCCTAGCTTCATTTCAGGAATCTGACCCTGCTACACTTTGCTTATCATCAGTGGCCTTCTGGAACTGCCATAAGCTTCTATGACAAATCTTCACCTAAATTATAAATTAGCTCCACTTAGATGCTGATGCCAGGCTCTGCTGACAGCTCAAGATATGGATGCTCTTGTCTCATAGTTGTATTGGCCTCTACTGACGCTGAGAAAACTTTCTAGACGGTTTTGAGCAGGGAACTCTGGTGACATTCCCAGGTCTTTTCCTTAAGATTAATTTGTAGTTTTGAAAAATGGACCCTTTGCTGGATGAGCTCTTATACACAGCACTTCTTGCTCAGGAGAAGGGTCTGAGGTTTTCTCTTAATGGCACTAATCTCTTAACAATTATAGATGTTTGACTTTGCCCTGTGTGGCACTTTCAACTTGCTATTTTTCATGTCTTTCTGCTCCCTCACTATACATTATTACAGCAAGAGCCGTGAGCAATACCTGTACCACAGCCTGAATTCTGTTCCATCTTGAAAGTTCCACTATCAAGCATATAGCCTGTAGCTTTGAATTTTGCCTCATGAAGTTCTCTGGGCGTGAGAATGCAGCCAGATTTCTCTACTAGAATGTATCATGAATGGTTTCTAAAGTATTCTGGAAAGAGTACCAGTTCCTTCTCCATGGTCACCTGAAGTCCCAGTTAAACTCTACTGCTTTCTGGAGTTTTAGCTCTCAGCTCCAAAATTCACATTCTTCCAACACAACAAAAAGCCTAAATACTGTGGTTGTATTTTCACAGTAGCCCTATTCCAGTTTTCTGTATTGTTACTCCTGACAGACAAGGGTTTTTTTTTTTTTTTTCCTCATAAATTGGAAAGATTTCAGTCTACAGTGCATCATGATGGGGAAAGTATAGCTGTAGGGGTCTGAGGCTGATGCTCTACTTTCTTTTCCTTTTAATTTCTTCTGTCTGCCCCCAACTAGGGACCCTGCCTCATAGGTAGTATCACATTCTGAATAAGTCTTCCCTCTGGTTTAAATTTTCAGGGAATTCCCTTATAGGTACATCTGGAGAGCAACATTGACTCTTAACTATCATGATGGGACTTTTGAATGATACAGGAATTAAAAAGACAGCCTGAAAAGCTGTAAGAGTCTGCAGCTACTGTGCTTATTCATGAGATCTTGTCTGTCTTTTTTTTTTTTCTTGTCTGTCTTAATATGTAAGATTGGCAAGAAGGTGAAAGCTGCTTCAGCACTTGTATACTATGTCATAGACCAATGATTAAAAGCTTTAAGCATGCAGTTTGGAAAGTAAAATCAGTTTTAATTTGCAAGTGATAATTGAACAAAATGCTGGTGCTGTGTTTTGGAAGACTTCACTACTTCAAGTTCACATCTTACAAAGTTGAGTAAAGTTAGTGGTGTCATTGTCAACATAAACCAGGCAGTGCTACAAAGCCGAGTATATAAATATATCTGTACTTGCATAGTCAATCTCTTTGTCAAGGCACATGAATGACCATCTCAACAATCACATAGGGAAAATGGTGTCTTCACAGTATACAATAAATAAAATATAATAAAAAGGGTGCTCAATCCTCTAGTCCTAGCTACTCATAGTTGAGCAATACCAACCTGGATAACTGAAAAAAAGTCATCAGAAGGAAAGAGAGCCAGTGTAAAGGTTGTGGCAGAACTCCAGGAGCACACAGACACTCAAAAATGAGGTGGCAGACAAGACTCCGTGGTTTAGGCACTGCTCTTCCAGATGACCCAGGTTCAATTCCTGGCACCCACATGGCAGCTCACAACTGTAAATCTAGTTCTAGAGAATCTGATACCTGGATGGCATTGCACATACATTTCTTTTAAGAGAATGAATTGTTAAAATGTCCTTTGGATGTAGAAGACAAGAGTCTATCTGACCTTGTATAAAGTTCTGGTTTTTTTGAGTCAGGGTTTCTCTCCTAGCCCTACCTGTCCCAGAACTCATTTTGTAGATCAGAATGGTCTTGAACTCACACACCTGTGCTCTGCTGGTATTAAAGGTGTTTTTTAATGTATGGCACCACAGGCATGATCCAGAAATAATCTGTAAGATGGATTTAAATGATAGTATTTTCTGGCTTTGAACTTTGATTCGCCCTCATCCTTCCCAAGTACTGGAATTAAAGGAAAGTACCAATGCAGGGCATTGCTGTGCTTTTAAAGACATTTATACAAGACAACCCAACAGGTGGTGTGGTTGCACGCCTTGAGACTGAGGAAAAGCTGAAGGGGACAGGACAGGGTAGTGGATTTGCTTTTAATTAGAAATTCACACCCATACATTGTGTGTGTATGGGAGAGAGATCAACATAAGACTTATAACCTGGGCAAACAGGTATTTCATGACCAAATTCAGAAAGCACAAAGGGTTTCTAAATGAAAAGGCTTCTGTTTCAATTGCATCAAGAACTTAACAGGATAACATTCAGATCTCACCTCTTTATTTTTGGAGAACAGACACAGCAATGGTATAATTAGGCTGAGATTCATAATAAATCAAGATGGACTGCAATGGGGGAATGCCTATTGAGTTGGCATCTCTATTGTGACCTTTGCTGTTTTAGTATGGCTACCTAGGTGTGGACACAATGGTTGCTTTCTCAGACCCTGACTTTCCTCATAAGTAAGATGACAAGAACTATATTGCAGTATGGTTATGTGAATGAAACAGGTTAGTAAACAAGCAATTCTTATAAAATGCAAAACCCAAGCTGCACAATTGTTGAAAACATTAGTCCAACCTGTAAAGAACTTCCATAAATCTGTGAGATGCTTCCAGACATTAAAATGAACTCTAATGTCTGAAAAACGCACTAAAAACAATGATGCGGGAATATGCTCAGCACCACTAGTTGTTAGAAAAAGTGGTGCACATCTGTAATACCTGTAGTCCCAACACCAAGGAGGCTAAGGTAGCAGGTTCACCAGTTTAATTATGTCCTGAAATATCTAGTGATACTGTCTCAAAAGCTAAGAAACTACTGCAGCTCAGTCATGGTGTGGACTATCTGGACCCTTCATATACTGTTGGGAATGCAAATTAAAAATTATAGCCTCTGGAAAAGCTTGGGTATTCCAAAAACATGAAAATAGTCATATTACTATATTCAGAAGGCAAAAGGCCTCTAAAGCAAGACAGCCAAATCAAGTTTAATGAGTGATTGCAAACAAAAGCCATACAATGAAACCTAGCTGTGCAATTCTGTGCAGCAATTAGACTACGAGTACACAAGCATGGCCCAAGGCCAAGACTTAGTGGTCCTGGTAACGGGACGTGTGCAAGTCGCAAACAGCAGAGCACTGGAAAGAGAAATTTAATGATTTCTGGGCAGAGCAAGGAAGTAGTAGGTGGGGTTGACCCTTGGGAGCATCTGAGCTGCCAGAGCTGCTGCTCAAGTTCATTCTTGAACCCATATGAATCTGAGGGATCAAACAAGCCATTATATACCATGCAAATCTTTCTGTACCATAAAGGGTCCTCAAGTAAGCGGGTGAAAGTCAGGTTCAGTCTGAAGGACTGGACCTGTAGACATGCCAATTTCACCTGGCTACTGCATGTTATTAGCAATCTAGACACTCAGCATATACCAGCCATCCTTATGCAGTATCACCTCAATCTCACATGCTAAATAATGTTGAATAAAATTAATCAAAAAAGCCTTTAGTTGAAATTTGAACTTTTTCATTTTATTTATTTATATATGTGTTTGTGCACACATGCACAGCCAATATATGGAAGTTGGTTAGAGGACAACTTGGAATCTGTTCTCTCCTTCCGCCATGCGGAGATTCTGAAGCTTAAACTCAGATCATCAGGATGGTTGGCAGGTGGTGCCTTTACTAGAAGCCACCTCACCAACTCAACAGTTTAGAATGTGGACTTCAATTAGAAAATGAGGTTTAAAATTAAAAGTTGATATTCTGACCTTTATCAGTAAATGGTTGACTTTCCATTTTTAAATTATGTCTGAATGGCATTAATAATAGTTCAAAAATTCTTAAATCTTGTTTTCTGAATCATCAAAACTTTGTTTTGCATCTGGATGTAGTGGTGCACCCTTTTAATTCCAGCACTCATATTCAAGATGCAGCGGCAGCATAGTCTACACAGTGGGATCCTATCTCAAACAACAAAAAGCCAAGACATTTGATTTTAACTAAGAATGAATGTATTGTAGTTCAGGAAGTTATGTGTACCCTGGATTTGATATTTGTCACCCATTAAACCTTACATTCTTACTAAGATGGAAATCATGTAGCTGGACATATATTAGCATTACAGTTTCATGGATGTGTTATTAGTATTGCTATTATGACTCTGAGTCACACCGTCTCTGCTGCTTGAACTTGGGAATGACAAATCCATTCAAAAGCCAATTAAAACTCACTGCCCTGGCCCAGATGTCACAAGGAAGTGAAAAAACAAAATTCAGACTGCTTATTAGCACAAGTTTTGAAGCAACGTTAAAGGTCTACTTCATTACAGATTTTCAAAACGCGTAATAAAAGTAAAATGGACTTGTTATTTACCTTTTTCACAAAGCAAGGTCTGCGTCCATTATGTATTTGCCATGAAGAGCTCATGAAAATTTCACCACCACTAGGTCTCAGGCAGACTGGCTTGTGAAATGAAGCAAAACTAGAAAAAGATAGTTAGGGACCACGGTTCAAGAGCTCCAAACGCAGCTCAGAAGAGGTCTCGGGTTCCAGATACAAGTGTCTAGTAACTTAAGTTTAGGCAATCCCCATCTCCCAAAGACACACTCCCTCTCTTAGCTGGGGCTCCCGGTCATTTCTGAAAATGGCCTTCATGCTTTCTGGCAAATAAAGGACGTCTGCGAGTCTGCATTACAAATTCCAGCAGCCTTGGGGCTGAAAGGATCTTGCACCAAAAGGGAAGTCCGGAGAGAACTGAATTCTCCACCACCGTTTCCCGCCTTCTTGATCCTCCACAGGCTAAAGGGACCCGTCTATCTCCGAAAGCTTCGGGTGCCTCCTCCTCTTCACTTTCTCCACTTGTAAGCTCACACTGACATATTCCAAAAGCTCAGTATAGAACAGGAAGCAAGGAAGTTTCTTAAAACATCGCTTCTAGCTTCTCAAAGCTTCCCCTTTAAGGAACCAGGCCTACCTCTTTCTCAGTCACCTACTGGCTTTCCTTTCTGCCCGTCACTCTACCTTTAAGAATATTTCCTGTTCTTTCAACCCAACTTGCACACCTCCGCCCCCCGGCCGTGTTCATTGGGCCGCCTGAGGCTTGTTCCCTCCTAGCTTTTCCCTCCGCCTCCTCCCGCCCTCTAGCCTAGCGCAGCGGCATTCCGGCTGCCGATTGGCTGGGACGGCAGCCTCCCCAGCACCGGATTGGCAGGCCGGTCGGCTGGGGCGGGCGCGCGGCGCATCCAGGCTAGGCTGTGCGCGTGCGGAGCGGCGGCCGCGGGAGGGGCGGGAGGGGCGGGGGGAGGGGGGCTGGGAAAGTTGAGGCCGTGCTGCCGCCGGGTCTCCGGCCTCGAGGGCTCGGGCTCGCAGCGGCGGCGGTGGCCGCAAGGAGACGCGGCGGGGGCGGGGGGAGAGGAGGGCCCGGGCCCGCGCTCCCCCAGCCCCGCAGAAGCAGGCGGCGGCTGCCGACCCAGAGGCTCGCCTGGACGGCCAGGCACCGCTGCCTTCCGCTCCTGGGATCATGACCCAGGCGGGGGTCGCCGCCACTGCGGCCGGGAGCGCGTCGCCGGCGGGTGAGTGGCCGCGGGAGGGGGCGCTGACAGCCTGGGCCCGGGCTGCGGGGGCGGCTCCGGGGGGCGGCCCCGGGCTCAGCTCCACCCACCCCCTCCAAGCCGCGGGAGGTGAGGGCTAAGCGGAGTGCCCCTGGTTCCCGGGGACCCCAGAGTGCTCACCTGACCCGGGGCGAGCGCCTTCTTCACCTTGGCCTGCCCGTACCCTCGGTGCCAGGCCCGCGGGGGCTCGCCCCGCTCCGGTTCTCACCGGCGGACAGAGGCCCCATGCTGTCCTGGGTGCATAAAGAACTGGGCTGCCAGGTCCTCTCCAGGTGGCCTTTGCCCGCCTCCTTCACCTTTTGCCATCTCTTCCATCTCTTTCCTCGTCTTCTGACTTTCCTTCTGACCCACTCGTCAAACTCGTGCTGCCTGCTTTTGTAACTTTCACCCCCGTGTCGGAGAGTTAGGTTGGCGTTTTCTTTTTAGAAGCTCATCTTTTTGCTGCCGAATAGCCCTGGTCCAAGCGAATAGCTAGGTCTGATTTCCTATTTCCTGAACAAGCATGAGTTTTCTGGGCTCTTGCTGAGGTTGGACGCTTTGACTATTGCGTTCTCTCATGGATTTTTTTTTCTTTATTGACCTCGTCTGCAGATAAGAGATCACATAAAACTAACTGCCAAATCCCAACGAATGTTCGAGTAACATTTTACCTACTAAATAGAATAAAGTAGCATGCAGGACAGTTCTGGCTAACTTTACGGGTAGCAGTGGGCAGATTGCTTAAGGAAACTATGGTGAGTGGACTTTTCAGCACCTTTTCCTCATGGCCAGCCTGCCTTGCTTTTTGCGATCTCTGCCCTCTCAACAGTCACCCTAGTGACATTTTCCTTTCCCCAGGACTCTTGATTTGCTGCGTAGATGCGGTGTTTCCATTTGTTTGGAAAGTACACTGAAAGTATTTGTTGCAAAATAAGTAAGATACATTACACTTTCTGAAACCAAGTGTTGTAAACAAAAGCTGCGTCAAGCATGTCTCACCAAAAGGCCCGTGTGACCCAGAATAACCATGGATGTGGCCCAACACTTGAAAACTTAATCAATACCTTTGGTTTTTTATTTTTGTTTGTTTTGTTTTGTTTTTAATCTGATCATGTGGCTCCCGAGGGTGACTGTGTAAATGACAAGGTTGTGTCACAATGTCGGGCACCTAGTCTAAATACTATGACTTAGATTCTCTGAGTACTTAAAAGTAGTTTTGTGAAGTTCGGGCATGGGTGAAATGTAGGGCATTTCCTTGCCATGTGGTAAAGGCCACTTAGAATAGTTATTTTGTAGCTTAGTGTTCTATGGAGCATCACAGAAGTTTAAAAAAAAAAAGTCACAGATTTTACAGTGAGCTGGTTGTTCAGGAAACACAAAGGAAACACTATTTAACTCGGGTTGGAAGAGAAGTTTCCACAGGTAGCAAGCTCAGAACCACTGCCTTTAAACCCAGGCCTTAATGTGCTTCCTAAACTGGACTGTTTGTTATAATCACCCTGTTTCAATTCACAGCTGTTACCTTTGACCTGGAGGGAGGTGGGCTGTGGGTATACTTCTTAACACTCTCCAGGCAATTCTGCTCAGCAGCCAGGGCTGAAAATTACCTTAAGCTTGGTACAATGTCCAGACTGTTGTGCTTGTATTCCAGGGCTTTCCATGGCAAACCTTCCGTTATGTATTCAACTGTTGCTTTAAAGCCTTCCGTGTGAACCTTTGGACCCCCTAACTCCTACAGATAATGCAATTTAGATCCTGCTGTTGCTAACAGGGGTGTTTCTCAGGATATGGATCCCTACTCGTAATTCCCTTACCTATCAGCGTGTGACCTATCTGTGTGACAGACCTCTTAAATAATGTAATCTTTGGTATATGCATGCACATATATGTGTGTGTTGGTATAGTTGGTACAGGATCTCCTTTTGCTCCTAGGCTGACCTTGAATTTGCACCAATCCTGGTGCCTTTATCCCCAGGTGTTGGGATTACTGTACCTTCATACTCGGCACCAACAGAAGTTTTAGTGTTTCATTACATTTATTGAGAGAGACGGGGCGGGGGGGGGGGGGGGGGGG